TGCTGGGAGTGGAGCTGCGGCTGCTTTTCTGCTCCCAGAAGCTCCTGTGGCTGCGAGGAACCCGGGTTTCCAGGGGAAGCTCCTGGCTGACCCCAGGAGCAGCACGGTTTGCCTTCCGAGGCCACTGAGGGTGGTGCGACCTGGCAGGGTCATGGCCTAGGGCACAGGAAGCCCGGGGAAGCTGCAGGAGCTTTCAGAGCAAAATAAACAGCTTTGGCTCTGTTCCAGCTCCCGGCACATCCTCCCTGCTCATCCTGGGGCCGGGGGTTGAGCTACTGCCGGGCTCCTGTGGGACAGGTGGGGCCAGGCCTTCCCCCTGGGGCGGTGGCATGTGCCAGGGGCGGTGGCACGTGTCAGGGCCGCCCAGTGGGCAGGGGCAGCCAGGCCACTGCTGTCCCAAGCCTCAGGCGCGGGATGCAACTTCTGCGCTGCCTCCCCAGGTTTTACATGTCCCAGGCCATGTCCCTGCTGGTTTGTGCTGCCCCCAGCGGCCTTGAGCGGATCCCCCGCACTGCCCCTGGGGCCGGCCAGGAGCTTCCCTGGCCTGGAACCTGCAGGAGCTTCCGAAGCAGAAAAGTGGCCGCGGCTCTGCTCCAGCTCCTGGCACAGCCTCTTCGCCTGTCCCAGGGCCAGAGGGCGAGCTGCCACTGGGCCCCTGTGGGGTGGGGGGGGCAGGCCTTCCCCTGGGGCAGTGGCAGTCCCCACTCCCCCTCTTGGGCTGCCCGTGGTGGGGGCAGCCAGGCCATTGCTGCCCCAAGTCTCAGGAGTGCAATGCAAGTTCTGCGCCACCTCCCCATGTCCCCACCAGCTTGTTCTTCCCCCAGTGGCTCTGGGAGCCCCCTGCACTGCCCCCCGGGCCTGGCAGGCATTGGCCCCTGGTTGGGGGTGGGGGGTAGGCCTGGGCCCCCTGCACACCAGGGGCCCAGTGGCCCACTGGCAGCTCGCCTTTTGGGCTCTGAGCTATTGCACAGTGGGGGCAGGTGCTGACCAGCTCAGTGGGGAATGCACAGGGCACTCCCATGCAGACCTCACATACCCTCAAACCCTTCCTGCAAGCCCCACAGCCACACCGTCCACCACACACAATCACACATCCCACAAATACTATACACACACCCGCACACCCCCTCCCCATACCCCCCGACACCCCTGCATACCCCACACAGTAAACAAGAGTAAGACTGCATTTTGAGCTATTATGCAATCACTTCTACATATGAAGCAGAAACTCACGCATCAGGACAAAAATATATATTTTTTAATTGAATTAAAATATAATATTATGGGTATTTGATTTTTAGTACATAATTTGGTTTTTTTTTCTGGTTCTAAGATGGCAAACCCTCTTCCCCAAAGGAGTACTTCCAGGGGCAAGGGAAGGGATTTCTGGTGGCAAGGGTTAGAGGTCAGGGGCAGGACTTCTGGTCCCAAGATGTTGACCAGAGGGCAGGGCACCTGGCAAAGGGCAGGGCTACCCATGTGGCCCTCAACAGCTTGCCAAAACTCGCTAAGTGGCCCTCCTCCCGAAATAATTGCCTGCCCCTGACTTATGTGCTGCTTAGTGGAAAGCTTCTCTTGCTCTCTTTGTAGAATAAGATAGATCTGGGGTGACATCAAAAGAAGTAATAAAAAAGAGATAATGGATCAATGGCACTTTTTATTGCTGCAGTCCTCCCTTTGGGTTCTCGTTCAGAACTGAGTTTATCTTAAGGGTAAGGACAGGAAACCTTCTGTTTGGGGATGGATGGACAATAGTGATAGAATCTGAAGTCCAAGTGGGCAGAATATTTGGAAGCTCTGGACCTTAGTCTAGCATGTGTAGCAGCTACTACTTAAATCTTAAATCCTGATTACACTTTAGAAGAAAGGGATGGGAAAGTGCTTTACAATATATTTTAATTGTCTTGAAAAATGTATGTGGTAGCTATTTTCTTCTCACCTGCTTTGTATCCCTGTTCTTTTTCCATTATCCCTAGACTTTGTTTCAACCCCAGACAAACTTCTACAACAATTTAGCCAAGGACTGTGTGGCTCAAGGCTGTTGTGTTGATTTGTTCCTATTTCCGAACCAGTATTTGGATGTGGCAACACTGGGGGTAGTAACTTACCAGACTGGGGGCTCCATTTATAAGTATACCTATTTCCAGGTAAGAACTTCCTTGGGTCAGTCTGTCATCTGCTCTGCCTAAGATTTCTCAGATCCAGCATTATAACTTACAGTGGTTTTGTTTAATCTTTACTGCCAATGTATCTGTACTAAGAGGAAGAATGTGACTACCAAAAAGTTTTAGAATACTCCTCTAATACGAAAACCATTAACACCATAGAATAAACCATCATCTGAGTTCATTGTATACAGGACGTAGTATCCAGGTGATGCTGGCTGTCTAGATTTTGTTTTTCCTAGACCTGCATAATTTGAATGCTTAATATCAGATGGGAAAAGCTTTGTTTTCATTTTTGCTCAAAAATAAACTTCTTGAATACCCTGCAATTTAAGTGAGCAATGAAATTTTGGCTGTTTGAGAATGTAAATTTGAGACTCGCTGTATCAGGCAGACCTAGCCTTCATTCATAACAGGTGTTTTTTTCCAGATAGATATGTTTTATGAAAGTGGGAAGTTATTCATTCTTCAGCCACCTGCAGATGAGCAAACTGAAACTTTAGGAGAGGGGTTTTCAACAAGTGTACCCCTTCTGTCTCAAAGTTTCAGGTCATGTACCCCTTTATATTAAAATTATTTGGAGGGCTGAGCCAAGGCCCCCACTGGAGGGAGTGGGGCATGGCCTGGGACTGAACGGGGCCCTGGCTGAGCCAGGTTGTGAGACAGTTGGAGCCCAGATGGCTTGTCCATGGGCACAGGGGGGCTCCTGCTGCTGCACACACCCCGGTGGAAGCCTGGGGGGCACGTGCCCCCCTGAACTGCGTGTGGGGCAGAGGTGACTGCTGCTGTGTGCTGGGCTTTGCATGCTACTGCAACTGCTGCCGGAGCCGTACGATGCCACGTGTTCCACTGCTGGGAGGGCAGGGGGCACAGTGCAACCCAGCAGCAGCAGGCATGTGGTGTCACACCGCTCCTGGGCAGCTATAATGGCATGCAAAGCCTAGCGTGCAGCAGCCACCTCCACCCTGCGCATAGATCAGGGGGCACATGCCTCCCAGGCCTCCACCAGGGGGCATGTAGCAGTGGGAGCTCCCCACCCACATATCTCCTATGAATTTTTTAAGTACCCCTAGGGATACACGTACCCCTGGTTGACAACCACTGCTTATGGGGATTTGGGGAAGTTTGCAAAACATTTAAGTGGCTCTATTAAAGGGAATCTTGTCAAGATCCATCTCAAGTAGCGTACACAGTTTTGAGTGTTTGCTTGTCAATGCGTTAGGATTGATACAACAAAGCTTCTCTGAAATTGGGTTTTGATACTTTTACCCTCTCACATTTTAAATCTGGCGACACATTGTAGGAATTCTATGCTTGAGAAAAGACTGTGACCTTCCATTCAGCATGTGGGAGAGAGACAAAGGTTTCTCTCCATTTACATTGCAGCTTATTTCAGAAACTCATTTGGATTCCCATTCCTCTCATCAAGCTGAAATGTTGACTGGCATTTCCAGTAACGGTGTTTTGTTAATAATGTGCAGTCACAGGCGCGAATGTCGCTAGCAGTTCATATGGAGCAGGGATCCCTGTTAAATATCTGCAGAGATACATAGTATTTTTAAAAATGTACTTCTGCAATAGTTCATTCATTAGAGGGGGGGAAAAAAAGGTGACTCGTGGTGGTTGGACAAACTGGGCCTTGAGCCCTTTGAAATTACTCTGATTCTGGGGATAGGGTGGCAGATTTAAAGCATCTCTCATGTGAGGAGATCTGAAATCTGTAGGGTAACTTCTGTTGTGGAATGTAACACTTGAGAATTGTTTCTTGTGTTCCAGCTGGAAACTGACCAGGAACGGTTCCTAAATGACTTGCGCAGAGATGTCCAGAAGGAGGTGGGATTTGATGCTGTGATGAGAGTGCGCACAAGCACAGGTAAGTATTTCGTATTGTCTAGGCTTAATTAAAACTAGCCTGTATCATTACAGGAAGTAGGAGGAGAGCAGACTTCTCCATGGGCTGGAACATACTGAAATTAGTCTGTAAAGTCTGCTGTCCTAATTCTTCAGCATCCCTGGGATTATGGGAGGGTTGAAAGAAGAGGTATGGTGAGAGAGATGTCAAGACAATTTTATGTCCTTGAGAAGCGGGCTGCCATGTCATCCCAAAGGCTGTCTGCTGGGCTCTTCTACTATAGAGTATGGTTGGTTCAGCTCCATAGCCTTCTTTTTCCTTACAGGAATTCGAGCGACTGACTTCTTTGGAGCTTTCTACATGAGCAATACAACAGATGTGGAGCTGGCAGGTCTGGACTGTGATAAAACCATCACAGTAGAATTCAAACATGATGATAAACTGAGTGAAGACAGTGGCGCACTCCTTCAGGTGAGCCAGAAATGCCAATGTGTAGGGGAAGTGGGTGGGTTGGGAACCAAGCTTAAGAATGTGCTGGCAAGAAACTTAAGCCATTGCCAGATGGAGTCGTCATACCATTGAGCATCAGAGTGAGATCACTCCCTTATGCTAAGTTTCTTCCCTTAGATGTCTCTCTCCAGCTTTTCAGAAACAGGGCTACATGATCATGTTGCTTGAGGGGTTTTGCACTGATTCCGTAACTGGCATCTAGGTTTCCTCCAGTTCCTGTAGCAATGTACAGTAGAACATAGATTTTTTTCATATTGGGTGATTTGCTACCTGTCCTTTGCAGTGTGATGCTTAATTAAGAATGAATCTCTCAGCTGCTTGCTACTACTTTCATTTCAAAGGACACTGTTTCTCCAAACAGCTAAAGCACAGTCTGAGGCAGCTGATAAGAGAAGTAGCACGCTTTGAAAGAAGAGTCACAGCAAACAACTTTTGCTTGTCCATGGTCCTACACAGTTGTTTGCAGTTTTATGTACCCCTGCCTAGTACTGGGTTAGGAATCTAACCCTGTAAAGAATCCCAGTTCTACTGCATTATAGAAAAAATGTTATCCTTGGATTGCTGACTTCAAATTAACTCCCTACAAGTGTTCTTTTTCTTCTCTGTACAAACATCACACCTAGCTGTGCTGCCTTGCCATGTCCTCTTGCATTCCTATGTCCCTCCTTCTCAAAGCCATCCTGAAAACACTTCCAAGACTCCTCCAAGCCTGTCTTTACTTCAGAGCCCCTGTGCCCTCCCCTCACCCCATAAAACTATGAAGAAATTGGCTAAAATCAGTGCTTGGTCTCTTAATGTGGTCTCATCCCCTCTCCTTCTCTGTATACTGTTTTCTTTGATTGTAATCCCTTTCAAATGTGAATAGTGTTGTCTTACCTGTCTGTCCAGATATCCAAGCTTTACTACTTAAAATAAATGCTGTTCAAACATTGACAGGATTTGAAAATCCTTAAGTGCCTTACTGCACATATGAAGAAAGCAAATAGTAATTGATGGAGAAAAAATTTAGTTCTTGGGTAGAACGGGCTGGATCTGGCCTGTTTGGCCCCTAAAAAAATTAGAAAATTAATATGTATTTATCTGGTCCTGGCTGCCTGTCAAAGGTGACAGAAGACCGGGGCAGTAGGACCCAGGGGGAGCCTGAAGCAGAACTAAACAGCTGCAGCAGCAAGTCCAGTCACACCCTGCCTTCAGCCCCTCCACCCTGAGCCCCAGCCAAAGCCTCTGCCTAGCAAGGGCTTCTGGAGGGTTCTGGCCTGGGGCTATTCCTGCCTCCCTGTGCCAAGGGAAATACAGATAAGAAGTGGGGAGGAGGAAGGCAGGGGAGGACCGTGGGTGATTACCCCAGTCCTCAGGGCCAGCTGGATCGGCTCCTGTAGTCCTAAAGCAGGAAATGGCTGTAGCAGGCAGGAGCGAAGGAGCAGCAAACAGGTGTGTGGAGCGCAGCGATAGTCAGGCAGGCAGAGCACGGGGTCTGCGCCAGTGCAGCGGGGCCCAGAGCAGGATGGCAGGAGCATAGGGCCCGGGCTGCCAGGGGCTCTGTGAAGCCAGGTTAACTCCCTCTCTCCCTGCTTGAGCAGTGCAGGCCCTGCACTCCTGCCATCCCACTCTGGGCCGTGCCAGCGCTGGCCCCAGTACACCAGCCCAGGCACTGTGCTCCCACATGGCTGTCGCTGCACTCTGCACGCCCGCTCACTACCCCTTCCCCTCACCTGCTGCAGCCATTTCCTTGTTCATCTCCCACCTGCCATGCTCCAGCATCACATGGTTCCCAGCTGCAGCACTGGGAATGCAGGAGCAACTGGGATGTGGTGCTAGAGTGGCCGGGATAGGGGGATGGGGAAGCGGCAGGAGAAGGGCAGCAGTGGCAGATGGGTGGGCAAGTGGCAGTAAGTGGGAGCACAGGGCTTGTGCTGGTGCCCTGGGGCCAGGAGTGGCAGCAGCGCAGAGCCTGCACTTGAAGGAGCACTGGTGGGGGCAGGCTGTGGGCAAATCTTTCCCCTCCATGCAAGTCACAACCCTCACCAACCACCTTTCCCCCACACACTCACAGACCCCAACACCTATCCATCCCATCCCCCTCCCCTACACCCCACATACCCACAGACCTATACCCACTCTCCCACAATATACAAGAGTAAGACTTCATTTTAACCTCTACATACACTACACAAAAGCATGTAAATCAGGACAAAAATATTTTTTTTATTAAATTAATGAATGTTGAACTACATGTTTGATTTTTAGAACATAATTTGGTATTTTTCTGGTTCAGAGATGGCAAAACCCCTTGCTGAAAGGAGTAATTCCAGGGGCCAAGGGGAGGGACTTCTGGTGGCAAAGGTCAGGGGGTAGGACTTCTGGTCCCAAGCTGGCAACCAGGGGGGTGGGGCACCAGTCAAGGGGAGGGGCTACCCATGCGACCCTTGATGGTATGCCAAAACTCATTAAGTGACCCTTCGCCCACAATAATTGCCTGTCCCTGTCATAAGGTCTCTCCTCCTCTAGGATTGAGATGGTGTTTAACCCACTAAGTACAGAATTTGTTATTTTGGTTATTCATTATTTCCAAATGTAGCAAAACTGAATGGTTCCATACTCCCTGTTTTTAATAGTTGTTTTGTTCCGTCTGTCTTGCAGTGCGCTCTTTTGTATACAAGCTCTGCAGGACAACGGCGACTCCGCATTCACAACCTCTCCCTGAACTGTTGCACGCAACTAGCTGATCTCTACCGGAACTGTGAGACGGACACGCTCATCAATTATTTAGCCAAGTATGGTAAGGATCTGTCTCCAAGATCATCTTATACCTCTCTGCACTAAAGGCTGAGCCAGACTCTGAAGAGTTTATAGATCTTATGTGCCCCTTCCCAGACAGTAATGATCCCAGTATTGTTCCTCTGCCCTGGAAGCACAGGCAAGAATCAGCCTCACCCTCTGAGTCGGATGCAGAATTCTGGTCTCTGGATTTGGCTTAAAGGAGATACGTACACACACAGCTTTTATAAGATGCATATATGCTTGCTTCTAGAGCTAAAGTGCTTTCATCCTTCTCATGGTCGCTGGGTTCTTCTACTCTGGGTATGGAAAGACACAAAAATGGTCCCACATCCAGTAGGTGAATGAAAAAACCTTGTCATAATACAAACAAGAGCATAATAAAATTGTACAAATCTTAAAATGGCAAAAGCTATGTGCATGCACTCCTAGGTGTTTTTCTTGTATTCTAACAGTGACCTCTGCTGACCCAGTAAGCAATTACATTGCTAGGTTCAAAGGAGTTTTCCAGATTTACTTGCGGCAAATGTATTATCAAAATATAATAGAGTTGCTCTAGGTTTTGAAGTCTAGTTGGACTAAAGATTTTGGACCATTTTGAGGTAATTATAGGTATTGATGGTTACTTGGTATCTGTGATGAGCTCTTAACTTTCTGTGCAGCGTATCGTGGAGTTCTGAATAACCCAGTCAAGACGGTAAGAGATGCTCTGATCAACCAGTGTGCCCAGATCCTGGCGTGCTACCGAAAGAACTGTGCCAGCCCTTCTTCTGCTGGCCAGGTAACTACCTCAGTTTTGGATGGCAGGTGTGACGGAAGCAAATTGAGAACCATACCCTTCCCACCTATTCCATTAATATGGGTGATGTACTTTAACAATGAGAAAAACTGTCCATTTAACCAGAGGACCTGGAAGAGAAACTATATTTTGAGTGGCTTCTTAAATAGACTTCTGGCACATAGTCACACAAGTCAGCACCTCAGGAGAAATTCATCCCACAAGCCCTGTGGAATGAAGTACAAGTGAATGTGTTAAAGGAGTTTAGCCTCTAGAATTATGTGGATTTTGGATTTAAATCAGCTCCTTTAGTTTGAAGTTATTCTACTGACTCCATGCAAGCCTCACTTGTTGCCAGGTGTTTTAGTTGGCTGTAGCCACAAACTCCCGGAAGGCCAATTTAGAATGGACATAAGAAAAAACTTCTTTACAGTCCGTGTATCCAGGGTCTTGAACAGACTCCCCCCAGAGGTTGTGCAAGCACCTGCTCTGGACTCATTCAAAAGGCACTTGGATGCTTATCTTGCTGGGATCATTTGACACCAGCAGACTTCCTGCCTATGGCAGGGGGGGGGGGGGGATGCAAGGTCCCTTCCAGCCCCTAATGTCTACAAGCCTCATTCAGCGAGAGAGCTCGTTATTAATTGCTGTCTGTTCTGCATCTACATTATGACCATGTCCCACATTGTGGACTCATGTCCATTTACAGTGCTGCCTGGTAGCCTTCAGGCTCTTCAAACTGGTGATGACATCACCTTAAGATGGCTGAAACAATATTCCAAAACCATATAAGCTAAATAAATTCTTCATCTTGTGCTTTGTAGCTGATTCTCCCTGAATGCATGAAGCTACTTCCTGTGTACTTGAACTGTGTGTTGAAGAGCGATGTCCTTCAACCTGGACCAGAAGTCTCCACTGATGACCGTGCCTACATTCGCCAGCTAGTAACCTCCATGGATGTGGCAGAAACAAATGTTTTCTTTTATCCCAGGCTTTTGCCCTTGGTAAGTGCTTCTAGTTAGTGTACATCAGTGGCCTTTACCCTGTACAGAAGTTCCATTGCTATACCACTATACCCGGAAAAGTAGCATTTTAACAAAGAAGAGCTGCATGGGAAAAGTGTTGCTCCCTGTCATTTAGCAGGATGCTTGATTTCAGCTGTAAATTAATTTTTGCAAGTTGTATGTTGGACAAGGTACACTTTTCCTCCAACAGTCCTAGGGGAAAGCACCAGGGCAACTTTTTTTGGAGCCTCAAAAATCCTCTAGCTCCACTCTAGTAATTTTATATAGTTTGTAGTCCTTCCAGGAGAACTGAATGGACTTTTTGACATTACTTCACTTGGTTAGTGGAATACCGTGAACATTCCCAACATAAGGAGAGTACTGGAATTGCAGAATACTGATGCCAGGGCAGTCTACTTATGAACAACAGTTTTTTCCTAATCTCTTTTGATATCATACTAAGCAGGAAAACAAAATTACAGGAAACAGCAATAATTCAGTCCAGATTTGACAGCCCTGCAAATTGTTACCTAATGTCCATGTTACAAGAAAATGTGCAAGCAGTTAGAAACTGATTCAAGAAATTGAAAATCCTTTAGGGTCTTGAAGGCAGGAATTTGTGTGGCTTAACAAGACTTTCTTCCTTTTATAACATATAACTGCAGGGCTTGATTTACTGTGTTTGATATTTTAACAGACCAAAGTTGATGTGGACAGTGATGCCTTGCCAGCAGCAATCCGGAACTCAGAAGAGCGCCTCTCCAAGGGTGATATGTACCTGTTAGAAAATGGACTGAACATCTTCGTGTGGGTGGGGGTAAACGTACAGCAAGGCCTGATCCAGAACCTCTTTGGTGTGTCATCCTTCAGCCAGATCAGCAATACTATGGTGAGCTAGGCCTGGGGTACAAGCTAGAATTAGGGTGTTCTTCTAATAATGAGAGCAATAAGCAATCCCTGCCTGAAGATAGTCTTCTAAAAATCTCCTCAGGGTTCCTTATACCTAATAGGTTGTAGAATTGGAAAGCACTTGAGCAAGAGTTCTCATACTAGCTAATATCAGTATTCATGAAATCAAGCCCAGCACAGGACCAGACTGCTTCCTCTCTACCCCACTTCATGAAACTAGGGAAGATTTTGCTTAAATCATAGGTATGTTATGGGTGCACAGCAGCCTGGGGGTAGGGGGTGGCAATCAGAGAATTACTTGGAGTCCAGCAAGAAAATTATTGCAGCAGGGAAACCAGCATGGATTTGTAGCAGGTAGATCATGCCTGACCAATCTGGTTTCATTTTGTGACAGGGTCACAAAATGCTTAGACACAGGAGTAGAGGTGGATGTCATTTCCTTGGACTTTAGCAAGGCCTTTGATATGGTATCACATCCTATTCTCATAAATAAATTAAGAGGCTGCAACATGGATGTTTACGCGGTCTGGTGGGTGGCATATTGGCTTAGGGGTTGCACCCAGAGAGTGGTAGTAGATGGGTTGGTATTGACTTGGAAGGATGTGGGTAGCGGGGTCCTGTGGGGTTCGGTCCTTGGACCTGTACTCTTCAGTATCTTCATCAGTGACTTGGATGTGGGTGTGAAGTGTATTCTGTCCAAGTTTGCAGATGATACTAAATTGTGGGGTGAAGTGCACACTCCAGAGGGTAGGGAACAATTGCAGGCAGACCTGGACAGGTTGGAAGAGTGGGCAGTACACAATAGGATGCAGTACAACAAGGACGCATGCAGAGCACTGCACTTAAGATGCAAAAATATCCAGCACATCTACTGGCTGAAAAGTGACCCTCTCAGGAGCACAGAAGTGGAAAGGGATCTCGGAGCCATAGTGGACTCCAAGATGAACGTGAGTCGTCAGTGTGACAAAATCATCAGCAAAGCTAACCACACTTTTATCATGCATCAGCAGTTGCATGACAAATAGATCCAAGGAGGTGATATTTCCCCTTTATGCGGCATTGGTCAGACCGCAGTTGGAGTACTGCGTTCAGTTTTGGGCACTGTACTTCAAGAAGGATGTTGATAGACTCAAGGGGTTCCAGAGGAGGGCCACTCGTGTGGTTAGGGGCTTACAGGACAAGCCCTGTGAAGAGAGACTGAGGGACCTGGACCTCTTCAGCCTCCGCAAAAGAAGATTGAGAGCTGATCTTGTGGCTGCCTACAAATTCATTAGGAGGATGCAGCAAGGGATCGGAGATGCTGTATTCACCAGTGCACCTCTTGGGGTAACAAGGAACAATGGTCACAAACTGACAGAGCAGATTTAGGCTAGATATCAGGAAAAACTTCACAGTAAGGGTGGCCAAAATTTGGAATGGGCTTCCAAGGAAGGTGGTGCTCTCCCCTACCTTGGGGGTCTTTAAGAGAAGGCTGGATAGGCATCTGGCTGGGGTTAGCACTTTTTCCTGTCTAGGCAGGGGGTTGGACTCGATGATCTGTTAAGGTCCCTTCCAACCCTAGCATCTATGAATCTATGATAGCGGGGTCTCTTTCTCTCGCCCTCCCCCTGCATCCTCTAGTCTTGCAGATTCCAGAAGGAGCCATGCCAAATCAGATCCATTTGCATAAAAGCCCTGTATCCCTGTCTTGGCATCCTAGCTGTGGAGCTCCAGTATCAAGAGTAGTGTTACCCTTTTCTGGTTAGTTCTGCAGGTCTGGAGAAAGAATATTAAGTGGCTGCCCATTCTTCCCTGTAGACTATAGACACCATCAGACTCTTGGGCAGATGTTGTCTCTGAGATGGATGAACTTTCTTTTGATACAAATGGAGTAGATGGCCTTTTTGGTCTGATCCCAGAGAACAAGGTGGATGCAGTGTAACCAAAACTATGGGTGTGATTTTTTTTTTTTTTTTTTTTTTTTTTCCCCCCCTTCTTTCTTTTCAGGCAACTGTTTAATCCCATTTTACTTAGTTTTAAGTATAGGGGTTGCTCCTCTCTAGCATCTTGTATGTGTTAGCCTGTTTTACCTAGCTTCTGAATTAGGTTAATTTTGCCCAATAGTAGTGGGTAACTGAACTTCTCAATTGCAGAGTTCTTCTTGGTCTCATTGTAGGATATGTCTGCACTGCTAAGTGCATTGTAGTATAGAGATGCTCAAGCTAGCTTTAAACTAGCTAGCTCGGGTATTATCAGAAACGGTCTAGCTCAGAGGTGCTCAACCCCCAGTTCCCAGGCCAGATCTAGCCTCTGGTGCCAAGTCTTCCAGCCTGCGGACCTCCTTGTGGATCTGAAATCTTTGCAGTGGGGAAGCCAAAGTTCCAGACATTTTGGAAACTCCATGAGCTGGATAGCCTGGTCCTATGTGCTAGGTCTGGTGCACAGGGTAGTGTGGGCTTCTATCCTGACAGGCAGAGGCAGCATGGGGCCAGAAGACTGAGCACCATGAGCTAGCGACCTTAATGTAACCAGACCAGGTATTGTCACATTGTGCTGCAGTATGAACATATACCTTGTGTATTCCTTTTGTAGTTAGAGGAATTATTGTGGCTTATGACGATCTATTTTTTATTAGCAGTGAAGAGAGCAGATTTGTATGCCGAGCTAATAGGGTAACAGTTGTCCTGTAGTGCTGACCTCTTGGCTGTGCCATCCCTTTTTAATTTTCTTTAATAACTTTATTTGTTTCTGCTTAGCAAACTGACCAAAAATGCCTAGACTTGAACTTACGTAGTTCAAGTAAAGCAGCAGAGTTGGTTATTAAATTGTCCTAATTCTGTGTAAGATGGATGTTGTCTTTTATTCCAGAGCACTCTGCCTATCTTGGAAAACCCCTTTTCTAAGAAAGTACGATCCATCATGGACATGCTGCAGGCACAGAGATCCCGCTACATGAAGGTAAAAACCTTAGAGCCATCTGAGTCCAACAGATTAATCACCTAAAATGCATCTTGGATGGAATTAACTTAAAAAACACTAACCTTTTCAGTATTTTGCCAGTATAGTTACTTGGACAATTGAAGTTCTGCTATTGCCCATGCCCAGAGCTGCTGCAGTCTTGATTATGCTGAGAGACTTGGTGCCTGTCTTGTAACCTAGTCTATTTGGGATTCACAAACTTGGCTTCCTACACCTTAGTCCTCTGAGGAGCCTGATATAGCAAGCATGCTTCACATACACCAACAATATTGAAATTAGCACAAAGAACAGTAGCTAGGACTTCTTTTATTAAAAAATTACAGACAGGAAAAGTGCAGACCTTTTATTTAGTAGTATAGGGGTTAGAATAGTTGTCCAGGAAGTGGAAGGACCTGGGTTTTAGGTTCTTCTAAGCCTGAAGGGGTTTCAGAACCACATCTACCTTCCAAGAGGCTATGAAGTTACAGGTGGCATTGGTATAAGGTTGCTTTCCACATATCCTTGATTTTAAAACATTTTTTTAATCACCAAAGTTGCTAGCTGAAACTAATCTTTTTTTTTTTGTTTGCTTATAGTTAATAATTGTGAAGCAAGAAGATAAGTTTGAGATGCTGTTCAAACATTTTCTGGTGGAGGACAAGAGTATGAGTGGGGGGGCTTCATATGTGGACTTCCTCTGTCACATGCACAAGGAGATTCGACAGTTACTGAGCTAGAGGAGGGAGTGATGCTGGACTCCAGCAGTGATGTTTGTCTCCACTAACCACCTGATCCATGGGCCCAGCTCCCTCCAGAAGGACAACATAGAAACCTGTACAATTCCATAATTTTTAATACATGTTGCATAAGCAGAGATCCTTTCAACCTCTCCCAGTCACATTTGAGAGAGATGCAAACATTTCCTGGTGAGGGCTGGAAAAAGGCGTTTGATCCCAGGTCTTTTACCTGTAACTAAGTTGTTTCCTGTGCTTGGCAGGAATCTACCCCCTATGCTCGCTAATCCTGTCGTAATGAATGTAGTTTCTCAGTTCACTGTACATGATTCAGTATTGGGTGAAAAAGCGATAACTTCAAAACTACTGGTAGTTGCTGTGTGTTTGTGTGTGCGCGCATGCTCCAAGTGTGAAGAAGAGCTAGGTGGGGAGGACAGGAGGCAGGCCACCCTGCTGGATGGTGGGAGCTGGAGCAGCTCAGCATTTTTCAGTCTCCTATTTTAAGGAAAAACATGACATGCCACGTACAAACTGCAGCATGTGGCCCTCTGGACCAGGAATCTTTTGAGTTGAAAAAGAAATGAGCTGAGAGGATAGCAAGGTCCTTCCAAAATAGTCACTGTAGCAAGAATTGCTGTGTTGGCATGTATTAGAGTAAGTAACTGGTGAGTGCACAATCAACAGCTGAATAGGAGAAGGATAGAATCAGTGTCTCCTGCTGGCCTGAATGGTACCCCCTCAAATACCTTCCTTTGCCTTTCTTTGGGAAAAGCAGCCTTCCCATCTTACTGTTCTGTGTGGAGTCAGTCTACCAGTTCTGATTTCTTATGGCCTCCCCCTTTTTTTTCCCCTGAGAATTTACCTAGACTGTCCAGTTGGTGGAGGTCATGATGCCTGTCCTTGTTTATATATGAAATATTTTTTTGCAAGTTGATATGTGGCTGTGTGGGAACGGGCACTGCAGGGGCAAGGAGGCAGCTTTTCCCAATCCAAACGGTTGTGAATCGCAGCAAATAAGGAAGCATTTTAATTTTACTGGTACAAATATGAGGCTGATTTGTACTCTGGAGTGCAAGGAAGGGAATACAGGAAAAATAAGGTTAAAATGCACCACAGAAGGTATTACCAAGTACCTGCTGGAAAGGGTCTGGGGCTAAAGCAGAAAGTATTTTCAACCTTGGATGTTTTATTCCCTAATTTTATCTCTTGAACCATCTACATAGGAACTATTGTATAAACTGTTTGCTAAACTAAAATACCTCAGACAGACTGATCCATCCACATTTTAGTTGGCTTTACTGACCACTCCACTGCTTGGTTCATCTAAGGTGGAGGACAGGACTCCTGCAAAGGTGGTGAGAGTCTAAATCAGATTGAGAATTCTAAGGGCTTGTTCGTTAATTTTTTTAAGTAGACTAATGTGTTTAACTTGAACACACAACTGTTCTTGCAATACTCGGGATTTAATGAGGAGGCAACAGCACTGAAAGTTGAAGGAAAAAATTAGCGAAATTCGGGGTGTTTTGAATGCAGTTAGCAGATCTGTATTACCTGGACTCGGCATTGCAATGTAGGGACCTTGTGTAAAACGTATTTTTCCGAACAGCTGTCTGTGGTTTTAGTTCCGTGACCTGTAGCCTATGTATAAATTTGAGGGTTTTGTTTGGTCTAATGTTGCAAGTTTGTCCTGCCTAACAGCACTCTACACTCAAGGGACTATGCGAACTATAATGGATACACTTTCAAGGTGTAGTGGACAGAATCTTCAGCATCTTTTTGTATGACTATAGCTGACACTTTTTTTTTTTTTTAAACCCACTTACTGCCTCCAACCAAAAATCTAGATGTTTTTAACCAGCAAAGAGACAGCTTCCCAGGAATGTAAGGCTCAGCAACCACAGACTTCCATAATACTAACTTCTAGCATTAATATGAGGGGAAAATAAGATCATAAGTGAACCTTTCATTTTCTTCACTCTTGGGGGTTTTTTTTTTTCCAATGCATCTTTTAATTTGTAAAGAAATAAAAAATATATATATATATATTAAGATGTATTTTATGTCATTGTTAGTAAATAAATACTTCTTATTTTTCCAAGCACTGTATTTCGGGGGCAAGGGAGAAAAGAAATGGGAAGGCCTGGGATCTTGTTATTTTCCCCACCGTGACCTACATGATGCAACATTTTGACAATGAGGTTCAATATACTAATCACTTTTTTTTCCTCATTTGTGGTGAATGGTGGTTAGCATTTCAACTGGAATCAAAACAAATGAGGTGCTGTTAAGTTTTAGTATTAGCCTGTTGGGAGATAAAGGTTTAGAAGGGGTAGAAACTTAAAAATATTTATTTTGTTAAAGTACTCCTTTTTTCCTTTCTAAGATCAAATTGGGTCAAATTATGACTGCTTTTTGGTCCACTTTTATAATCCTTTTAGTTATTTTATGACCTAGCACTATCACATAGCAGCAGCTAGAATTCTCCAGGCTTTGCTCTTCAGTGGCATAGAAAAACCCATCTCAAGTATTTATGGGGGATTTTTGTTTTGTTTTGTTTTTCTTTTTAAGTGGCAGGAGCATTGCTGGGTTTTTTTCTAGAGTGCAAAAATAAAATTCAGATTAAACTTTCTAGCAGCAGTACCTACTTCTTTAGGTGTTGCAATTTTGTTTGAAAATACCCAATAAGGATATTTAGTTTGTCTTAGTGTATTTTACAAGGGGGTTATAATGTGAAACAGAAGGCATGTTCCCATCTTCTGTCCAAAATCAAATACTATGTTGAGCTAAATGATGGGCTGTGCACAACTTGTACTTTAAGTGAGTGGAGTAAGTTGTCCTGGAGGAGTTTTAGGGTATCTACACCTTTCACTGCTTATGGGAGTTGCCTAGGAACTGAATATTGGTGCTCTCAGTAGATGGGTTTACAGAAAGGAAGGGCCCCTCCTGAGCTTCCTCTGGTGGACTTCTGCATCCTGTTTCTAGCAGTGCCTCAAAGAAAGGTGGAAAACAGCCTCACACTGTTTCTTACCCTGTTCATTTATTTGTGGATGAAACTTTTTCTGCCTTCTAAAGTTTTAATTCAATATTTGCATACTACAGCTTCTGGTGAACTTGTCTAGCTGCCTTTAACGCAAGGGCAGGGGAGCTCAAACCTCAGAAACAGAGAGTTGCCTTCCTATGCTTTCCTATTCCTGTTCTTGAATTCTAGCTCAGACCATGCTCGTCCTCCGGTGCACAGGTCCCACCTGCCACTATTGTACTGCCCCTCTCGAGTTGCGGGGGGAGGATTCTTGCCCCAACTCTGCTATTCTTCTCCCTCCAGGCCAGCCAGACCCGAGAGCAGAAGCTCCCAGCAGTTCCAGTTGTCCCCAAGGGTGGCCCGCTCCCTGTAGCCGCTGCTCTCCCCGCCAGCTGCCCCAGGCGCCGCTCCTGCCCCGGCTTCTACAAGCCGGCTGAAGGATGTGCTGCCGCGCATGCGCTGTCCCACTCGGGCCGCTCGGAGCCGGACGCTCGGGGGTTGCAGCCCTCCGACGCCGAGCAGGGGGGAGCGTCCGCGCCTGCGCGAGGCACCGAGGGGGTGGGGCCAGGCTCCCTTGCGCAGGCGCGGAGGCTGTGGCGGGGTCAGTGGCGCGCTCTGTCTTTCCGCTACCGCGGGGCC